GGGCCCAGCTGCCATGTGACCCCGCGGCCCAGCGCGGCGCAGCGCGGCGGGCGAGGGAGGGAGCTGCCGGGAGGCACCTCAGCTGCCGCCCGCGGAAACTTCCTGCTTTCCTGCTTTCTTAATTTTTTTTTCCTTCCCCTCGTTTATTTTTTTCTTCCCCCCTTTCTCTCTCTTCCTGCAGTAGAGAATATAATTTCTCTTGTCCTCTGCTTTCTGCCAACTTCTGTCTCTTTTGATTGTGGGTCACTGCTGTTGTTGTTTTTCCTTGGAAAAGCGGGAAAAACTGTTTAATTACAGGGTTATGTTCTTTTAGGAGGACATAAATGTGTATATACAAACAAGTTTATTGTATATTTAGGGTTGAGAGCTATACTTTCATTTGAACAGCCTGAGCGGCTAAAATAAGGTTTGATTGCCTTTTTTTTTTTTTTAATCGGGATCCCTACATCTACAGTAGATCACTCCTGAAATCTAGTTTCTGATATTTTAAAGCATTGTTTGAGATATTGTGTAAATGAAAGAAATTAGCTTATTTTTTCCATGAAAGGTTTTCATTGTGACAATCACTTATTTTAAACAGTTCTCTAATCCTGAATGTTAACATTTGTTGATATACATATGCAAAAACCGTCTACACAGATCAATTCCCAATTAATACTTCTACTTAATAATACTGTACACATGTAGGTGTATATGATAATAATGTGTATCCTAAAACAAACATTGGTAGTTTTTAATCAAAAACGAGTTGTGCCTCTTATGGTGACAGCTCGACTTAGTGTTGCCTTGATTATGAAGAAGAAATGTGTTAGGAAGTGCAGAATCCTATACTAGCAGAATTTACACCCTGACTTTATAGTGGATGAACTCATGTTTTCATTCTTCAAGCTGAGTAACTGCTTTGTAGTGTTTGAGGATTTATTGAAACCATGCTAGGTTTCTGAGGACTTTATAATAGAGTCTTATGGCCCTGAGAGCATAATTGTTCTCCAAGGATTTTGAAATCAAAACAGTGTAAGTGTTTTAGATTCTGTGTGGCATAATGAAAATAATTTAATGCCTTTTAGTGGCATACCAAGTTTATTTCACTTACAAGAGAGACATTGCAATATCTCTAAGCGTCCATAGTGTAGGGGGATATTGTAATGTGTCAGTAATTCATGCGCCATGTAAGACAAAAGGTCAAGAGAGCAGCATTTCATTTTCTGACTGGAATTAGCTTTAGATATAAGCACTAGAACAAATATGATCTTTACAGGAGCAAATATAATGATCAGTCTGGGTGGATTAAGTTAAGCAGTGGTACTTTTTTATTTTTTTGAGAGAGACTTTGAGAAGGGCAGAGATTTTGCTCGAAGAAACATTTTAAGTCTCTGCCTTTGATTTAATGAGAACTTTGCAGCGCTTGTGTACGCCGCAGCCAGCATTTCTTCACTGCTCCTCGTGGCGATCCACAGTGATCCTTTGAAGTGACATCTCCAAAGCTGGCTGCGTTTGGCTGGTGTGACTCTCCACTTGGAGGGACTTTGAGGATTGTCTAAGCTGGAGGGGGCTCCTTCGAATTGCCAAGGCATCCAGGGGCAGGAGGGATGGTGGCGTGTGGGGCAGGCAGTGCTGAGGGCCGGGGCAGAGCCACCCTGGCGGTGCTGGCGATGTCTCAGCCTCAGTTCTTCCCCTGCAGCTGCGCTCTGCTGTGTGGGACTGGAAGGGCATGGGGCTCTTCCTCCCCTTCCCTTCTCAGAAAAGCACCGTAGTGCAGCAGGGGAGAAGGAAAGCAGCTTTCCCATGGAGGGATGACTGGCCTGCATGCAGGGGGCACGTGGGGCATCCTGGCTGTGTGTGGCCTCGGGCACTTGACCCTCCCAGCAGTGCTGATGGCCCATGGGCAAAGTGGGGCTGTGAGGCAGTTGTGTCCCGTGTGAGGCTGACACCAGCACAGGAACACAGCTCCTGAAGAAGAGCCAGCAGGGAGGAAGAAAAAAATAATCTGTGTTTTGAAATTTATAGAAAGTAATTGGGTAAAAAACAAAGATCTTCATTTGGTTCAAAGGGTCAAATTCCAGAAATCTTGATTTGGGAATTCTTGAGAAAAAGGGATTTTGAAGTGAAGCCAAATCACTATAAGTGATAACGTTTCTGCAGGAAAGCAGTGCCAAGTATTCTTTTTTTTTTCCCCACGAAGTACGCATGTGCATATGTGGCTATGAGAGTCTTTGGGTCTTGGCAATACTGCTACTACTGCAGTATTGCCAAGCAGTAAAAATAAATAAATAAATATGAAAGCTTGCACCAGAATAGAGATGCTCATCCATAAACTGATGCTCTGCTTCTTTGGGGAAGCAACTGAGGAAAGGCCAAGCAAGGGACAATCCATTCTTAGATCCATCTTTCATATGTTTAACAAGGTATTAGCAAGATTTTCTTTTTGTGTATTACGCTATTAAAAAAAAAAGATAAAATGGAGATATAACGCACAAATATGAAGTGGGCCACCCTATAATTTAATTCACCTCGCAGAGATCAGTTATGGTGACTTTCTCGGTTTCTGTTTATCTAGCGTAGAGTAAAACTCCAGCCCATTAGAGGGCATTGGCTGTCCTGTATTTGTCAGTCTCTTACTGCTGATGGTTCAGTTACTTGTAACAATTCCTGTGAACTCACTTATTGGCAAGATATTTGCCTGAGCTTGTCTTTGCTTCTGGAAGCATATTTTGGAAAAAATTGGAAGAATGCAAGCTGCTATGAAATGCAGCCCTGCTTTACCCTGATGTAACACTGAAGGCGCTGGAGTTACCAGAGCAATAGATTTGGCCCCTTGTGTGTGTTTTCACCTTTCTCCAAAATTTATACCAAATCTAGAACAAGATGTCAAAACAAGTTAAAATTGCCGGTAAGCGTAAAAATGCCTGCAGACTAGTTACCATCAGCATTGCTGACTTAGCTTTAAGGTAGCAAAGATGGCTTTTGCCTTCAAAATAGGAAAACAATTTGATTCTTGATCTTCCAAGTTCTTCAATTATGAATCAAATTAATCATCATGATTTGCATTAACTCAAAACTACAGAACAAAACTGCTTTAAAGGATATTAGTGATTACTTTAAAAGAAAGTTTCACAGCCCATTTAGTTGTGTTATAAAAAATAAATGAGCACTATTTAAAATGGGAAGGTACACAGCAGCTCTTCAGAATGGTTATTTGTTAGGCATAAAATTTCTTGGCCTAAGTTACTATGATAGTAAAGGGAAAATGGTACTTTTGTCAAAAAAAATTCTGCTCAGATAGTAAAAGTTTTTGCATGATGAGTAAAAAAGAGTCTTTGTTTCCAAAGCACCTATCTTTTTAGATATTAAAATTCAACTTTGAACTGGTAAATCAGAAAAAAAATATATATCTGTAAAGCTTATGTGATTCTGTAATCACTAGTACTAGTCTGTATCTTTCTGGGTTGCCATTAGGAAACCAGGTAGCTTTATGAAGAATAAGGTAACATGGTACAAATTATTTTTACTATCCCTTTTAATTTTAAAAGTTCTATGCAAGTTACTGCCTCTATAAAGACATCAGTACCTTATAAAGTTTCCACAGTATTAAATATATTTGAATGCGAATAAGGTATTTGGAGTGATGAAATACCAGATGTGCAGTATCAGGTTGCATGTTTATTCATCTGTTATTGCAATCATTGTATAAAGATACGCTTTTTTTTTTTGGTCTCTCAGTAACATACACAAAATGCACCAGAGATAGAGCACCTATTATGGAAGTTACTATTTAGGTTAGTGAGATTGTAAACAAATCTGCCTAGAAGCATTCTTGCAATGCTGGGATTGTGCACGGCGTTACGTCACGGTGCTCTGCCTGCATGGAGGGCGGCGAGCCTGTGCTGAGCAATCTGAGCAGGGTGGAGAAAGCGAAGGGCCAAGGAGACAGCATCTGTTTGAAAAGTTACTATTTAAATTACTCAGATTCTGAACATATTTGCCTATAAATATTTTTTTGCAATCTGGTGATGTTCTTGCAACATCACCGTGCTGTGCTTGCAAGAAGGCAGCCTGCATGTGTGAGCTGAGCAGTGGGCACCGCTGTTGTTAGAAATGCAGGATGTCAGGCTAATGTGTAGTCTAGAATTTCTAGAATATGGGAGAACAGAATTTCATTTCTGAGCTTTCAAGAGCAAATTATTAACAGTCTGGGACAAAGTGATAGATTCTTAAATGAAGGAGAATCTTTCTTTCCCCTCTGTTGCAAGCAGCCATTCTCAAGGGAAAGCCTGAGTGGGACTGTAAGAGCCCTGTGTGATAAGCATATCAGCTCCTACCTGGGGAGCAGGCAGGCAAGAGCAGCCTGTGGGAAGCACCACATCTGCAAATGTGAGTAATGTTGTGCAAGGTCACGCATGGCATGGCAATCATGTACTCCCTTTGGCCATGGCGGGCAGGAGAACGATGTATTCCAGAGGAAATCAGAATAAGGTATACGGGGAGGTTTTGCTGAAGAGAACTTGCACCAAGAAGGGGACCAAGTGCTCTGAAAGTGTTTTGTAGTGTTTTGTATCATTCTCTCTCTCTCTCTCTTTTTTTTTTTTTTTAATCCTCTGTGTACCAAATATCTTCTATTCAGACATCTGTTGAGAGGAGGACTTACAGAAAGTTCTTTATAGTCTGTTTATGGGAAGCTCTGTTAAGGTACCTGCCTAGCTGCTACGTAAATTTACTAGTGTTCAGAAGCTACCCTTTTATAGAGGACTATTTACACCACTAGGGTTTCCCTAGAACTAAGTGGAAGATACAGGAACAGGTTCAGATCAGGCATTTGACCACTTATGACTCATTTAATGGCTGTTTTTATTCAATTGACTATAGTAAGTAAAGTAAGAGGATGTTTTCCCTTTATGAAAATGTTCCTTTAGTAAAACCCTTGTTTAGAAACAACACATATTAGAATGAGAACACTGAAATGAAGTAACCTCACTGGAATATCCATGATACATTTAGGAGATTGTTTAGTATGATTTATATGATTTCATTTTCCTCCCAGAACTGATTTCACAAGCTGAATTTGTGATGCTGTAGTTGCATAGTTTGCAGCCTTAAGAAATAGGGTTGTCACAGCAGGAGGTAGTTGAAACAGCCCTGAGCAGATTGATATAATGTGTTAGAGTTGGTTTCTCAGTATTGAGAGCTCAGGAGAGTTGAAAAGCTTGCATGTAGAAAACATTGTAATACTCATTTATTCCATCTGATTCCTTGAAGAACCCACATCCATCAGGAGCAAGTCAGGTGCTGTATTTCTTGTTCAGACAACCAGGTCAGTCAAATAAGGCCCCCCTCTCAGTTAGGGGTCATGATGGGCTGTTTTATTTGTCTTGATTTTAATGACACCAGTATGAAATTATGGTAGACGTGCCCTCTGTCTTATCAGTTTCAAATACCAGCTGAAATGTCTCTCACAAAGAATCCACTGACTATATCCTCAGTAAGGTTCATATGAGGACAGGGACAGTGAGTTATATTCATGTTAGACACCAGTGCTCTAGGCATCCTTTTGGAAACAGAGGAGGTAAAAATGTAGAAACTATTGATTTAGAAAGAGAGAAACTTGGACAGCACAAATAGCACCTTAAAAGATGAGGTACCTGGAAATAAGTAGTCAAAACTCAGCCCCTCCACCACGAATATGGCTTGCACTAATAACTAGGAGCTACTGGAATAACTGACTTCCAGCAGCTGTTCAAGGGATGTTTGGTGGGACCAGGGGTGATTGGTGAAAGCCACTGCTTCTTCCATGTGGGCAAGGGATTTCACCCAGATGTTGCCGCTCCTGCCCATGGATTTGCTCAGCACAGGTGTGATTACAAACACTGCTACCAGGAACAAGGGACAGCGGGGACACAAAGGCTTTTCACAGCACCTTTGGTCACTTGGGGATATGCTCTCCCAGAGAATAGGTCTTATATTATCCCACCCCATGCCTCCAAGAGCAAGGCTTGCGTGGTTGTTAGAGAGTAAATGCTGTGAGTGTGACGTGATTCTTGCATAATTCCCTGAGGGCTGTGTTATTCAAAATTAATGCGTTTCTTGCCTGTGTCTTGCAGGGATTTCCTCAGAGATGCACACATGACTTCTTTGTGATGCCCTTGAGAAGCTGCAGCCTTATCATTGTATGAATATTTTCCTAACCTACAAACAGTTTGATGTGGGACACTTAGTGTGCGACATCAGAAAGAAACATTTCAGAGTCTCAGTTTCCACATGATTTTAGTCTGACCATATAGCTTAAGGAGTTGGGTGTGTTATTGGATTAACAGTTTACAGACTTTCAGTAGAAGTAATGAGTTGGCTAATATAAGATGCCTCCTTTGAAGCTTTTATTATTATTGTTTTTGTTCTAAGCATACGCAAATTTTTGCATTGGCTGAACAAAGAACGTGGTTTTGCAAGCAAAAATAACATGAATTGGGAGAAGGGGGAGAGAGATGAACATAGATGTGCTAATTCTATGTCCTGAATGCTCTTTCAAACAAAGGCAAGTGACACAGCTTGGCTCATTGCAAAAGGCACTACAGTGTGTCCCAAATTCACAAGAAAATTGAAAGCCTGAGAGAGAATTGTGACCCAAGGGAGCTGCTAGGGGTGTCAATCAAACGCCACTAGAATTTTACCTAGAGAGGACTCCAGTACACACTGTAAATAGAAATCATGGTCAGTGCTCATGATCTCTAGTGTGACAACTCAGTGTCACTGTTGTAACTGTTTAATTACAGCACTCCCACTGCAGCCATCTCCAACTAGGTCAAGCCTCCTGAGGATTTCCCTAGATTCAGGCAGATTTTATTCTTTTGTTGGGATCTCCTTGCAATAATTGTGCTTCTAGCTAGAGAGAAATCCAAATATCGGGCTGTTTGGTACCTGCACCATCTTATGGTATTGAGGAACTTTGCACGAATTCTGCCCTGCCTTTGTAGGCGATGCTCTGTGTGCGAGCCGCCAAAACAAATCAGAAGAAAAAGCTGCTCCTTGTTTCCCTGCCCTCCTTGGAAAGACTCGTTGAGGCCCCAAATAAGCCCCAGATAATGGAATTGGCTTAGGGTGATGAGAAAAGCATCTCCAGCCACTTTGGTTCTGCATCACAGTTTTACCTCTGAACTAATAGGTAACTCCTCTGTCCTGGGTATCCGAGGGGAATAGGAATCTGAACCGTTCCAATCCCACTGGGGAGGGCACAACAGGCTTGTAGTTGTTTGGGGATATTGTTGACAACTTTAGCTAGTAGTAAAATAATGTTCCATAGTAAAAATAGTTTTTGAATCATTTTAACAGATGTCTTTCTGTGATCTGGCAACTTAACCATTTAATTCTTCTTTGAAAAGAATTGCATTTTTATTTCTTCTATTCTTCCTTAGTAAGTTCTTCCTTGGCAATAAATTTTTTAGTACAACTAATGGAGAATGCATGCTGCCAACAGATCTATATAAATGTACACGCATATATGTGTGCATACATATATGTGTGAATAAAATTTGTTCCCTTTCTGGCCAATTAAAATGTGAATTGGCTCCCAGCTGATAGGATCCCATCCTGTTTTGTTTGGGTGACCGAACTGTGAGAGGGACCTGCAAAAAATATTCTCATCCATGTTCCTGCTGGGTACTTAGGCACATGAGCTACATAGGCACATACCTGTGTGGTGTAGCTAGATTGTATGGTGTATTTTTTAGCCATGGGACATTTAGTCACCAAAGCCTGTGAAAGTGCTGAGGAAAATTCTGTAAGGGACGGCCCATGGAGGAGCCACGCTTGGACTTTTGCAATCTGCAGGGCAGTGATACAAGACTTATTGGGCCTATACAACAGGGCTGCAGGGGGAGTGTCATTAGCAGATGGGACAGTTCAGAAAACCCTTTGGCCTGGCCTGTCTGCCTCGAAGCCTCTTTTGATCTCTTTGAGCCCACATTTGATAGCGGTTGTCCCGAGTTACAGCCTCCCCCTGACCTCTGCGAGCAGGGAATTCAGACAAGCTAGCGAGCGTGGGTCGGCGCCGGCCCCAGGAGCCAGCCGAGCTGTGGTCATGAGGGAAAGAAAGGGAAAGGTGCTTCAGAGCTGGGAACACTGAGCAGAGCTGCGATTAGGTTAAAAAACCAAACCAAAACAAACAAAGTCCCACCAAAAGCCCAAGCCACTTTTGTTAAAATTATGAACTTAGAAGTTTTGCATGCTGTTTTCATTCCAATGAGGAAAAAAGGTATAGAGAGATTAAATAATTTGAGCAATGTCACCAGGAGTTTTATAGAAGAGCTGGGATTTGAGCCCTCTCCCCTTGCCCTGTGCCATCTCTGTTTTAATGAGGTAGGGGCCTCTTTCACGGTTTATCCAGTGCTCCTTGGGGAGCCTGGGGCAACTGTGGCAAAGCCGTGTTTCCTAGACCACTTCCTGTGCACTGCAAGTGCAGGCTGCAGTTTCTTAAAAGTACGATCTCTTAATAACTTGACTGCAGGGTGCTTTGCACCTCTCATAAGGGAATTGGCTAAATGCCATTTTATTATTATTAGACATTTATTTAATATAGTAATTCCTTGAAACCAAGTAAGAAAAGGTACTTGTAGTGCTATATACTGCATGCACATAATGGACAGCTATAAGAACTTTAACTTCTATGTGCAGAAGAGAGAGAGAAAGTGGATGGGAAAGGGAGGCAACATTTAGCCCTATGTTGATCCCCCATGGGATGATGTGAAATGTGTACCTTCCATAGAATAATATAGAGGCTGGTGAAAATAAGATGATTTAATTTATTCATAACATCGTTATTCAAGGAACAGAGAGGTATGTAGTCTTATCCAGAGACGTAATCTAAGAGGTCTTTACTCTGTGCCAAGCTAAAATTCTGCTATTTAATTACTGATTTAGAAAATATCTTGGGCTCAATTTCCTCCTCAGCTACACTGTTATAAATCTAATGGAGTTGTTAAAGATTTATGGCAGTGTAACTGAAGGCAGAATTGGGTCTCTTATGTTTAAAACTTAGTTTGCCACATAAGTAATAATTTCTACTTTCTAGGCAAGAGTTTAAGAATCTTGCAGACCTCTGTTTCTGTAAAAGAAATATGAACTACAGTAATGTGGGTAAGTGATTAATGTTGGAAGGGATGTCTAGGGGCAATCTGAATTGGCTGGTGTGGAAAATCCATGTGCAATTCAGATTTAGGATCTGTTTGCAAATGCCCCATAATTTAAAATGTCAAAAAAAAAAGGGGGGGTTAGGTTCTCATGCAGTAAATTAATACACTGCTTGCTTGTTCAGTATGCAGCAAGCTTTGCTGAAACAGTGCCTCATACCAGGTGTGAACTCATCCCATTCCCCTTAATAGGGGGTTAACGTCAAAATTGTTGTGATTCTTTAAATCCTAAGAGTATCTAACTAATAAAAAAACCCCTTTTGATGTTATTTAAATTATATATTTTGTAACTTAAGAAGGAAAAATGTTGTTGTATTTATCCAAATTTTAAGAAATCCCATGTTATCACAGATGTATTTTATTCATTGGCTTTTCAGCTTTAATGAAAGGGACTTTCTAATAAGCAGCTGCCTCTTTCCTCCTTCTCTCAGGTTTCACTTAGGAAACAAGTCGACATTTGAAGTCCCCTCGGAGGGGCTCCGTGCCCCATGGTGCTGCCGGCGCCGCCGGCTCTGGGCCCGCTCAGCTCGGGTGCAGCCGGGGCTCAGCGCTCTGCTGGCCGCACAGTTTGCGGCCTCTGAGGCATAAAAGGGCCCAGCGTCGCTGCGGGCAAGCGGAGTTAATCCCTTTACTTCGCACTGAGGTGGACTGAAGCACTCACAGTGTCAGATACGAGGGCGGTAACCTGCAACTGATGGGTGAGGATGAACAGTGAGGTGGGACCTGTGCTAGCGCCGTCTGTCTGTCCGTCCGTCCGTGAGTCTGCTCGGTCGGGTCTGAGCTGACGCCCTGGCCCCGAGGTGAGCGCGAGGCTGCTGTGTCCCTGCTCGCTTCCCGCAGCTGCTGCCCCGCGGCTCTTGGAGCTGCGTAGGTTGGATATGAGCATTAGGTCACTCCAGAGATGTTTCCCTTTCCTCTGTGAGGTGCTGTAGGCCTGGGGCCTAAGAATTGTGATACGCATCTATCCCTAAAGATAAGCCCTTTGTGGTAATGTAGATCAATGACTTTTCCTAGCAGCTATCCCAAAGAATAAGTCCTTTACGATAACATCGATCAACAGCTTTTCAGAACAGACCATTTTAATGTAAATACACACTGTAGGCCCAGCATCTACTCCTGCCAGCCTCACTCAGGAAGGAGCTGGAGGATTACTTATTCTGAGCACTGAGCTAACAGTTTTCAGACACAAGAGGGAAGAACAGATTGGGGATGTCATATTGTCTTTGAAGTGTTTTTTTTTTCCAATGGCATTTTTATTAGCTGCAAAAGCAGTAAATCTCAACCTAAATCATTTAAATGCTTAATATAATCCTGACTTGATGCATTAATTCACAATACGTGCGACTTCTACATATGGATTTCATGGATTTTACTTTTTTTTTTTTTAATACTGATTGAACATTAATTAACTGAAAATGAATTCAGGCTTAAATGAATAAACCACTCTATCATTTCTTGAGGTATTTTGCAACCTAAGCAAAGGCTCAGGTATTCCAGATATGATAGATGTGCGGATTGCATAAGACGTTAGGCATTGCTCACTCGAAGATACAGAGTTCTCTCTGCCCTTAAACCCTTTGTTCTCCTGGCTGAATGCAGTTAATTAGCAACCGTCACCATAGCAACTGCCTGGGAGTCCAAAAACATTGTCTCGTTTTTGCAGTTTCGCTTATCACACTGTTTACCTGAAGGGCTTTTCACTGCGCTGCGTCTCATTTGAGTTGGCTGCATGCCTGCTCACGGAAGTGAATTGTCAAGATAGAAAAACACCATGGCAGCAAGATGCTGAGCAGGGCCCTGCATGTGAAAGCAAAAACATGTAAAAAGTTCTGTGGAAACAAAAGTTGAAGTTTGCAATGATTTACATGCAGCTTTAGAGCATGCGACTTGCCAGGAATACGGCACTTTTTCAAGCGCAGTGTCACGTAGCAGAGCCGCTCGGTGCTGCCTGGCTGGTGCCGTGCCCCCAGGGCCGCAGCCTCGCAACTGCAGCCTTCCCCGAGC